GGTCGGGTGGGGGAGGGGAAGGGAGGGGAAACCTTCCCAGGGAGGCCCCCACGACCTGTCTTTGATTGCCTCTTTGACATTTTTGCCAAAACACCACTAGTGGAAAGTCAGGCTGGCTGTGCTGGTATGGAATGGCAGCCTCACACTGGCATATGGACTGTTCTGTAGATTAATAATACAAGTGGAGCTGTCTTTAATTTAACTTTATTGCTAGAAATAAAAGGGTTTTAAGATGAAATCACTTGAATGGAATGGCCCTCACTTTTAAAAATGAAGTTCTGTGGTTCCAGTAAGGTTTATGTGCATACGTCTCCTCAGTTCCAGTGCCGTATGTTTACCATGTAGGATACACTATGCCTGTCATGGCATAGCTTACAATCCCAAAATGAAAAGACTTACAATTTGGGGCTTCTGAAGTCCCAGGATTTAGGCCATTTAACTTTCTGTTAAGATGTTTATTTGGGTAGCTTACAGTATTAACACTAAATTACAGTTTACAGTATTTCTACATTACAGCCATATGTGACATCAAGCCATTGATTGTATATTTTCTTTTGCTAACTCTCTTGGCTTGCCATCCTTATCCAGTCCCCTGTGGACTGGCTTGGCTATCCTTTGTCTCCCAAGGCCAGAAGACTGCCTGAGGAACATCAAAGCTTCTCTAGTTTTTGATCAACAAATTAACAGATGCTTGGCAAGCGGCTGTTTAAACTGAGTCCACAGCAAAAGGATTAAGAACTTAATTAGAAAGGGGGGAAACGTGAAACTAAAACACCACTAGATAAAAAGAATTCAGGTCTGTATGTCATGTACTGTTTGATATTTCAAAGACCATCCTGATTTAAGGTGCCATAGCTCCTTCCTCAGGGATTACACTGCCATTTCACTTTTTCCCTGACTTTCTCCCACTGTACCATGAGGTTTGTCAGCAGATTTCTGTAGCACCCAGACTCCTTGTGTTGTCTTCATGGAAGCTCGGTGTTCATTCTCCTGGGAAAGCTTTTGGTATAGTGAGTGAAATCTCAGGAGTTTAGAAACTCATTTGGTAGAGAAATCCACAAAGGAAGAGCTACAATCATAAACATTTCGATCAAATCTTGAGCCCTATTACTTAGTTCTCTTCTAAAACATCCTTTTTCCAGGTCCGTTTTATTTGGCTGGGAGAAAATGAAGCTTACCAGGTAATATTTACCCCCATCTGAGTAAAAGTTTTTTTTACACGATTGTTGGAAGTTCACTGACATTTTCTTCTGATTTTGCAGCTTGCTGAACTTCGTAGATTTTTAACTAAAACTACGCAGTAGAAGGAAACTGCACTCCATGAATGTCATTAAAACAGGCTTTCATTGTCCCATTTGGTAGTCAGTCTGTAAACAGAGCATCTTGGTGTTGCATATATAGTACAGCCAGTTTTATTGTACAATTGGATGGAGTCTGGCTCTGTTGGGCTTAGATCTTTTTGTGATGTGACAACATAGATAAGTCTTCTGTAAGAAAGTGAGCTAAGAGGAATGACCAGAAAAGTAGCTAAAACTCATAACCATTATATTGTCAGAGCTTTTTAATAGCATTTACAATGGAAATCATGCAAAGCTATGCTTATTAGAAACAAATGTACTATATGCAACATCAGCATTTACACAAAGTGACTTCAGCTGAAACCCACCTCTGTAAACTTTAAAATAGCCTGATTGGCTATTTCCCTACTGGAAAGATCAATAGGAAGAGGCTTGCAGCTTAGGTAATTGATAGAAACTTACAGTAAATGCCAGGGACTGGAAGATTTATCTAGGCTTCTTAATTTAACTTCATGTCCAGTGAGCAGTGTTGTCCCTACCTGTATAATTTGGAAGTGATTTACTGGAATTACAAAACCTATTTTTTATTTCAGCTTTTGCTCTTGCTGCTTTAGAAAATTATGCAGGAAAGATCGCACAAGAGGGCTAAAAATGGAGTGGGGGTGGGGACTTGGTTTTTAAGCAGCTTGAATGGTTTCTTTCATTTTTTCAAGAAATGCACTTGCCTATGATACTGTCTCTCCAGTGAAATGATACTGCTCCATTACTCTATTGATACAATATTGTGCATGCTAGTGTCGTATTTCTATACAGTAGCTTGAAATTTATTAACTTATACTGTAGATGTTATGTATTCCTATGACAAACTAGTCTTCAAAATTTTTTAAAGTTTTTTAATTTATTTTTTCTTTTGGGGGTAAAGTTTGCTCTACCAAATAGTGATCGTAACAAACTGATCTGTTATGGATGTTGCTATAGTGACATGCAATTATATATGATTTTGTTTTTAAAAAAGGAAAAGCAAAAGAAACACCAGTGTTAGCTTAATCTTAATGTCTGGTGTACGTCATGGTGAAATTATAACTATTACAGTGTAGGAGAACAATTACGATGTTCTTTGAATGAGCCTTTGTTTGTGCTTTTTGTCATGTTATGCAGTGAACTATTTTTAAGGTCTAATCAGTGATTATTTTTCCAACTCCGTGTTTCTGTAAGGAATTATTTCACTCACGGACCATTCTTAGCAGTTTTCCTCAGTGATGGAATATCATGAATGTGAGTCATTATGTAGCCGTCGTACATTGAGCAAATAAACTTACAGATCTGATGTCAGTGTTACTTATTTGTATTGCATTATGTGTTTGAATTTATTTTGTTCTGGGATATACTGTGTACTGGGGAACTATGTTGTAGCTTTGTTGCTCCCAGGAGATTAGAGAAATTGAGTTAAAATATTTTATTTGGACCAACTTCTGTTGATGGAAAAGACAAGCTCTCAAACTTACACAGCTCTACATAACAGAGGTTGGTCCTACAACCTTGTGTCTCTACTGGGGAACTTGGTATTTACATTCACCTTGTTC